GTCTGTTGAAATCTTTCTGGGCCTCTATGCCACCATAAGTTACCAGTGCCTACAGGGATGGACTTATTCTGTTGTCACCACTGTGTCTACAAGATGAGCTGGAGCAAGAGCCAGGATAGCATTAATCTCGGTAAAAACCTAACTCACAGACTTCCACCCAGAAGCCTGCAATCTGGGTGTGAGTCCAGCATGGGTTGAGCAAGAAGTCTTCAGCTCCTGACTTCAATCCTGTTCAACTAGAATGCCTTGTGGAGCCACATTTTGCACAAATCCTCAAAATTTTCTATGTCATCAGCCCCATACAGTAACCTGATAACCAGATTTATCTACAGTGGATGCTCTTAGCTTTAGATGGTATCATTACCTCCGAAAACTCTACCAGTGTATTCAATGCTAACTACACCACCTGTCATTACAGGCACACAATATGGGAAAGATAACTCCAATATGGATAGTAATAACTAACATTGAAATAGTGTTTAACATAGATATGACTGATAAAATAATACATTATTTTTCAATCAACTCTAGATAAAAAATACCTCAATCTTGATTGCAAAAAGGTAAATTCAGGAAGATGGTGTAGGATCATTAAAATCATTGTGAGGATGATAAAATTATAATTGAAGATGTACCAGCAAGAATGTTGCTGAACTCATCCTAGTTCAAAAGCCAACAGCAAAAACCACTACATCAAAATAGTGTAAGCTTATGTCAGTTCAAGATCTGCCTCTGTATTGACCTCGCAATATTTATATATTACACTACCTATAAAAATATGATTACTATTGAAATAGAGAAAAGTTACCTTCAAAAAGTCTTCAAACAACATACATGTAAAAAAAAAGAAAAGAAAAAAGAGAAAAACTTGAAGACACCTTGAAGGATTCCCTAATAAAATACCAGAAGTGTACCCATGCTAAGTTTTCTGCATTGTCCAATAAAATCTGACAGACCTAAGGTATTCTTTTATAAACAACTGCTTAACTATTTACTTGGTAGCATAATTCTAGAGAAAAGTTATGTGACTAAAATATTGTTTTCCCAGTATATGATAATACAGAACTATTTTTTTATTTGCTGTTTCCCTTACTGCTTCCAAATATCTATAGCTACATTTGAAAATCAACTATGTTTCATGTTCCTAAGCAGTTTGGTTCTATTCCATGTTCTTGATTTACAGGTTACATACAATAATACTCAGTTATTCCATGGAAAGAACAGAGACTGAAACTTCTTAAGACCCCTTATGACCTCTGATCATTCAAACGATCAGGAAAAATTCCAAAAGAGAAAATTAAAACCTTTATTAATCCCAGGCAACAAATGTAAGGTTTAATGAAAATGCATAATAAGCTAGGTTAGCTACCACCCTCCTCTGCAATGCTGGTACAGGCATAGTAATACCATAGGGAAATGTAACGTCAATGAGAGATGCCATAATTTACCGTATCTGATACAAGGCTGCACTAGAAAACATAGAACTGATAAACAAAAAAATAAGCCACAGAGAATAAACAAGAGGAACTTACTACCATAAACATAGAAAATTAATACAAACAAGTATGAAGCATTGCTGAATGTTGAATATGATGTGGGGCCACAGAGCTTCAAGGACTCCTGCGAGAAGGGCTGTGTTACTGCCCAGAGACCTGTAGCACAGAGAGGGTTTTCCCACCTGCACAGCCACTGAGCTCTGCTAGGGATACCAGTGACAGGCAACAAAACAGACTTCATGAGCTTAGCTCCCTGACATTCACAACATGACTCACTAACTCATGAGCAGTGTATTACAGAAATAACTGCACTTGTGGCCTGTAGAGCACAAACTTTAGAAAGCTTAAAAAACCCCCAAACTCAGCTTCTTCTTTTGTTTACTTTAGAAAGCTTAAAAAAACCCCAAACTCTGCTTCTTCTTTTGTTATCTACTATTAATAAAGCTTTGAGAGCTCTCCAGAGGTTGCTTTAAAAATGCCCTCTAAAGGCATGTGGGGGGAGATAGATGCCCATATCCCAAAGAACCACAAATTACTAATTATGTTAATAATACTACAAGCTGTCTTACCTCTTAGTTATGAATTAAATAGCCTTGTCAAATACAAGCTAAGGACAACAGTGAATAAAGCCTTCAAGCTAGTTATTTTCACTCCCTGTTCTTCCTTTCTTTAGTCAAACACAACCAGCTCAGCAAAACCATTCAGAAGAGGAAATAAATATTAGTTAAACCAAAGAAAAAGTTGACTTTTACACCTCAGCAATTTCAAAGTCGTCTTAAATAACTTGGAAACCCTACTATGCTACAACATGACCTCCATGAAGAATGGTAGAAAACATTGGGGTAGATGGTTTTATTGTGACAGGGATTTAATGTGCCATTTTCCTCAACTTCCCATTTAACAAGGTTATTCAATTTATGATTTGGAGGTAAAACCAGTCTGCAGTGTTGTCATTAGTGTAATTAATCACATCCCGCTCTCCAGAAAGTGGACATCTGTCATGTGGGACTCCTGTACACATTAACTCTATCGTTCTTTTGATCTCAGAATAACCTCTGGAGATGTTCCAGATCTCTAATAACAGTAATGCCATTGTAAAATCTTGGTTACTAAGAAATAGTAGACCACACAGTGTAAAAAGCACTTGGAACCTGTCTTTATCCTTTGTTGCTAGGCTATAAGCCACACTGCACCACCAATGACTTATGGTAACAAAATCTGAAAATATAGCCAAAGCAAAACATTTATCAGAGAGTTAGGACAGAAATAGATTTTTCTTTTCCTGCTAAATGGGTTTAGGAGTCTTAAAGTTGTAGAAAAGGTTGTATCCTGTCCTGGATTGACAGGATGACTTAGAGTTACTGGGCTTTATCAAGATAATATTTTGAAAGTTATTATTGACTAGATCTTACTTTTTCATGCTTAATTTTGAGGTTGAAAATCAAGGAAGTGTCAAATGAAAAACAGAAGTTTCTCTGTGCTAATGTCAGTGGCCTATAGCAAAAGGACTGATGTTAAAGTCCTATTTACTTGACAATAATCCATAGATCTATTCACAGCAATATTATTCTATTTATTAGAAGTGGAGCAAAAAGAAAAGCAGAATTATCATTCAGTGTTCCATTAACAGCAAGAGAAAATAGTGCTGCAGAGCTGCAGCGATTCTTCTATGCTTACATACTTTTTTTAAAAAAGCCGAAAACCAAAACACCCAAATTCCCCAAATGCTCTACATCAAAAGAAAAAATGTTTCCCTCACAAATTACTACTACACAGCTCTCCTTGGGAGCTTAACTTTACTCCCAAGTCTTTGGGGACAGATGGGGGAGACTGATGACAGCAGCATATTAGTGACAGCAGTGGTAAAAATTCAGGGCTTCCTTTAAAAGTGAAGGCCCAGGAGAGTGACCCCACAAGAAGAATTACTTGGAGAAAGAGTCAACTTTGTGAAGTTTTAAGGGACCAAGTTCAGCAGTAAGTGTAAGGGGGCATTTACAGAATGAACACTGTCCACTGGCGTTTTAGCTGTGGAGGGTCTATCCCACCCCATTTTTCCATACTACACAGATCATGCACTTGCTTTTGGCACCCCATCAAATGCAACTCCTCTAATAAGAGAATACAGAACTAGGCATCAATGATCAAGCACCAAAATGAAACTAAAAGCAAAGCAGAATGGAAATCAGACAAGTCTCAAAGTCCCAATCAATTGTTCATGGCTCATCTGATCCAAATCAGCATCAAAAATATCATTGCTGATGAAGAAGAGAAAACCCTGGTACTGAAGTCACTCCATAATTCTGCATCCTTTTTTATCATTCTGACTGCAAAACAACCATTTAATATCAGCCTTTATTCATCTCTGTTCGTTCTTTTGTATTCTTCTGCTTTGGTAGCAAAATGGAGGATCTTGACACAAAGCAGGACAGAAACCTCTATTCCAGCTCCTACTCTTGTTCAGACACTGACTGCAATTCTTGTCTCATCTTTTAGTCACACCCTCCCCATTCAGAGCTCCAGTGGGACATGGGCATCCCTTCATCCTAGCCAGCTGGCCACCCATAGCATGAGAAGGAGAAACCTTGACCAGCGGCAGGGTAGGATTGGTCCTGGTGATGGTGTTTGCTTGTCCTGCCACACCTCTAGGCAGAGCACCACCAGCCAGAGTCCATGAACTTGCTGGACACGTTCAAGGACCAGAGGATGCTGTGGGTGTGCTCTCTGTGATGCTGCCCTCTGCCTCCTTATTTTCATTTTTTGACCATTACTCTTCCTCCTCCTTTTTCTCATTTGTTGTCTTCCACATAATTTCATTTTCCTCTGGTGTCCTCTTTGTCTTTCAAGGAGGTAGAGTGAGGGGGAAGCAGAAGGGGTTGATAGCTGTTCCTACTGCAGGAGACTGGTGCAAGCAGCAGCAAGCAGCAGTGGGAGGGAGAGCCCCAACCACGAGCCATCAGCGGTGCCTGGAGCTGCAAGACCAGGAGCTTGAGCCGTGCCATCTTACCCCACAGAAGGAGGAGAGGACCACCATGGTACTGTTGAAGACACTGTACCACACCAAGGCAACACACTACAATGGGTTTGCCTTACAGGTGACAAGTGATGTACTTCTGGCAACACTTCTTATCATTGGATAGTAAATCCTCTGCCCCCATGCAGGCAAAACCAAAGTTTCCCTCCTTGTTTTGGCTCCAGAACTAGCTCCACAAGCGCAATTGCTCCAGACACACACACACAAAAGATTTCTGGGAGAAATACCTGAATAGAAAATGTTAATGCTATAAAGTATTACACTGAGAGGGTTTTATAGCAGTTCAACTGGAGCAGCTGGAGGTTTTTCATCATATTGATATTTTGTAATTTTCTTTTTGTGGAAAGCAAAATTTCCTAAATAAATGCTGCAGTTTATCTCTTGACATATATGGGAGGGAGGAAAGGCATTTTAAATAGCTGCAAGAAACTCTTTGAATATTACTCAAAGTAAATGGTTAGAAAGCCACTTACCCCCAGTTGCCACAGTAATTTCACGTAGAAAATGGCCGTAAAATGGAAAATCGAAGGACAGATTCACTCTCTGAAAGGAACAACACCAGAAAATAAAATTGATATTGTGCAGAAAAGTAAGAGAAAACAAAATGAACAGTCCTCCACTTCAAACATCTGTTTCATTGCTTTTTATTTTTCACTGGAGCCTTGCTATTCTTAATTTGAAATTGCCAATAGCTAACTGGAAACAATTCTGTGTAGCACTTAAACACCTGAAAGCAGTGGATCTTCATAACTGAAGACTTTAGAAAAAAAAATACATCAACAGACATCATGACTCTCTCATAAGAATGAAATTAATAAAGATTTGTAGAGATTTTCCTAAAAAAATGTTGCTTTAGCCTCTTTCTTAAGAGGAACCATCAATATTTAAGGCCTTAGCAATACCGAAGTTTTACATGATGCCCGTTCCCTTGGCTGTGGGTGGTTTGCTCCTCTGCCAAATGCTCCTTCAGATTTGAGCGCTCTCCCTGATATCCTATTGCTACCTGGGTGTTTATCTGATGAAGGCTGGTAACTGGAAGGAAACTCTCCCATCAAACCCATGTGACACCAGTTCCCAAACCTCTCTGTACTGTTAACTAGGAGGTGGAATGATTTATAAAGAAATATTCAACAGAATGCATTGGGTTTGCTTGCCAACGTTTTGGTAGTGGGGGGTGGAGCTACAGAGGTGGCTTCTGTGAGAAGCTGCCAGAAGCTTCCTCTTTGTCCAATAGAGCCAACGCCAGCCAGCTCCCAAATGGACCCACCACTGGCCAAGGCTGAGCCAATCGGCAACAGTGGTAGCGCCTCTGGGATAACATATTTAGAAAGAAGGTTGGAAAAACCAACCCAACTGTGCAAATGCAGCCAGAGAGAGGCATGAGAATATGTGAGAGGAACAGCCCTGCAAATACCAAGGTCAGTGAAGCAGGAGGGCAGGAGGTGCTCCAGGCACTGGAGCAGAGATTCCCGTGCAGCCCGTGGCGAAGACCCTGGTGAGGCAGCTGTGCCCCTGCAGCCCATGGAGGTCCACGGGGGAGCAGAGATCCACCTGCACCCGGGGAGGACCCCACGCTGGAGCAGGTGGATGTGCCCAAAGGAGGCTTTGACCCGTTGGGAAGCCCGCGCTGGAGCAGGCTCCTGGCAGGACCTGTGGGCCCGTGGAGAGAGAGGAGCCCACGCTGGAGCAGGTTTGCTGGCAGGGCTTGTGACCCCGTGGGGGACCCATGCTGGAGCAGTTCATGAAGAACTGCAGCCCGTGGGAAGGACTTGTGTTGAAGATCGTGCGGACTGTCTCCCGTGGAAGGGACCCCACGCTGGAGCACAGGAAGAGTGTGAGGAGTCCTCCCCCTGAGGAGGAAGTTGTGGCAGAAGCAACATGTCATGAACTGACTGCAACCCCCATTCCCATCCCCCTGCACTGCTCAGGGGGAGGAGGCAGAGAAATTGGGAGTAAAGTTAAGCCCGGCAGGAAGGGAGGGGTGGTGGGGAAGGTCCTTTAAGATTTAGTTTTTATTTCTCATTACCCTACTCTGATTTGATTGGCAATAAATTAAACTGGTGAATGATCTCCCTCACCCTTATCTCGACCCATGTTATATTTTTCCCCCCTGTCCAGCTGAGGAGGGGAGTGATAGAGCGGCTTTAGTGTGCACCTGGCATCCATCCACCTCTACTTAAGGTACTTACTGCAAAATAAAAAAAGAAGAAAAATCTTTTTCTCCCCTGTCAGCCTACAGGTGACTATCCTCTATCAGCTGAATTCACAGCAGAGAACTGTAATTTGGAAAACAGACTCTTCTCCTCATCTAAGCTCTCCATAAAGCACCATTCAAATCCAAATTCATTTTCCCTCTCTGCCTATGGCGCTCTCCTTTCGCATCTACTCCGCTCCTTTCCCAAAGCTTGCTGATTATTGTCACCACCCATAACCATCACCCAGTGTGCTACCTGGTTAAACTCTGAACAAAGCAGTAAGCATGACAGAAAGGAGTGCTGAAATCCCAGTAAGGTCTTTTCACTGTTTAAATGTAATATCTCATAAAAAACCATATCACTTTCATAATGGCCTGAAGTCTAAATAGGAACTGGGTATGCAGCCCATTATTATTTGTTATTTAGGAGGAGTTACTATAGTAAAAATTGGTGCGGATATGGGTTGTTGGTGACTGTCCCTCAACCCTAACCTTTGATGTCTCCACAGAAGAACCCTTGCTAAGGCAGCAAAAAGCGCAGGGCGAGAGCGGGCAGCCCAGACCCCCGCCTAGAGCGGAAAGAGCTGGAAAGGACGAGCTGCTGACGTGCGGCAGCTCTGACGCAGCGTGGGCAGGGACAGGAGTGACAGCGGCCAAACCCCCCCACCTATAAAAGCAGCCTCAGGGAGCGCGAACGACCAGGAGCAAGGTGAACAGGACGGCAAACAGGGCACGGCGCATCAGAAGGGCGTGGAGCGTCAGTTTGCATGGAAGTTCACACGATCAGGGCGAGCGGGGAAGGCCAAGTGCCCCCCCTCCTAGTTACAAAAGGACACTCAGGCAGTGGTCATTGCCCTCCCAGGAGAATACCTGTCAGCTATGGTTACCACTTGCCCGAAAGCCTCCGCCAGAAGGAATGTGGCAACCCAGACGGAGCTCCCACGCAAACACGCAGCCGTCCAGGTCACCGGCTGCGGGGAGTGCCTGAGCCTGTCGCTTGTACCGCAGGGCAGCGGCGACAGCAGACGTCTTCGGTGTGACCAAGTAGATGATCTCCTCAGCCTGGTGGCAGAGCTGAAGGAGGAGGTGGGAAGGCTGAGGAGTATCAGGGAGTGTGAGAGGGAGACAGACTGGTGGAGCCGCACCCTGCCGTCCCTGGGGCCAGGGCAACAGGCAGAGGCCCCACAAGAAGAAGAGGATCCCCTGCCCTCTTGCCGGCAAGCAGAAGGAGGGGATCCAAGAGACGGGAGGGAATGGAAACAGGTCGCTGCCCGGGGAGGCAGGCGAATCCCCTCCTGGCCTCCCCCACCTTCCCAGCTGCCCTTACACAACAGATATGGGGCTCTGGGAGTTGAGGGCCAGGCAAGCGGGGAGGGAGGTGAAAGTGAAGGTCCAGCCAGGGGGTTGCCCAGGGCCAGTCAGGCAACCCCACGGATTACGACTGCCCCTGTTCAGAAAAAAAGGTGGGTAATTGTGGCGGGTGATTCCCTCCTGCGGGGAACTGAGGGCCCGATCTGCCACCCGGACCCATCCCCCAGGGAAGCCTGCTGCCTCCCTGGGGCCCGGGTTAGGGA